GCATGATAGGTCTTAGTTCTTCAAGTCCCAAGCAGTTCTGTCCTCATGCCTAAATTATATCATCATAGTTGCAGGTGCTAATGACAATCCTCACTATTAACACTTTCAGACCCTGTCAGAATCATAGACAACAATCCCAATGTTGTCTGGTTCCTCTTTAAACAAGTTACAACAACTCTGACCAGAATGTTGTGAACGTATTTGCCCAGGTGTCCCACAATACCAAAGCGGTCAAATCAATACGAACACAAGTCAGTACCAAAGCAAAATATTCCCACTTTATTAGTAACAAAATTACAATAATTTTTAATACTAAACATACTATCCCTAATCCTATTTGGCCCCATACGGTTACAATGCTTCCCAAATCTCTTGTAAATTGCACAGTCACGCTTTCTGTGGCTCTGACTCTGGGTCTGCGAAGCTGCTTTCTCCCTCTCTCTCTCTCTCTCTCGCGATAGTCAGCTGGTCTCTGCTTCTTGCCATGCTGGTCTCCTTAGGAGGCCTCAGACAATTTCAAGAGCAGTTCCAAAAGAGACGTCTGCAAGTGAACTCTGGTTTTGTACCTTTTAGATCGTCATCTAGAACTTTCTGTAGTTCTGACCAATCAGAGAGATAACTTAATAGTTTGAAACAAGAGTCAGTCATTTAGATGGCTTGCTACTGTCAAGTTTCTTTGCATAGCAGGATGCAGTGCATTTCTGTCTGGGTTGCCCTTTGTTTAGTGGATAAGTTGTTGGGGGTGTCTGTGCAGACTAACTGTTGCCTTTTACGTTATGCTAATGTCATTAGCACCTGGCTGCTGTGTTTGCACTGTCTGGTGTGTGCTTTTGTGATTTCAGAGTTTCACTTGGCCAATGTACCCAGCATCCCTTGCTGTTTGGCTAAGTTGGCAATGTCTGTTTTACCAGCCAGGAGGCTGCTACACCAGCACCTACTCTAGCCACAGCACTGCTCCACCTTAAAATGTGCAAGCTAGCTACAGGCAGAACGAGCTAGTTTTAAGTAATGTTAACCACAGATCATATAGATTCCTTGCTGAACCATTTAGCTAATAAACAGTGCAGTAAGTGCTGACTGAATACAGAGATCATTCACTTAAGCAAGCAGCACAAGACTGTGTAAACCTGCATTGCCATCAAAAGGCATGCATTAACTGTGCATTGTGTCTGTAACAGGCACACATAGATCAGATTGTTGTCTCTACTTGGGGGGGTTGCTGTTGACAGTCAGTGTTCCGTGCATCAGCAGATGTTCTTTTGCAAGGGACTGTGTAATAGCGCAACATTCTGTACACAGACACAGTAATTTAAGTAGTATCAATGGAATTATTCACCCAAGGAATAGTCACTATATTTACCATGATATAAACAATCCTCAAATAGTAGAAAAATATTTCATTTCTGTTGTTCTCTAACAAGCTTCTTATTAAAAGACTCTAATAAGTAACATCTCTTATTAACACACTTCTGCCTAAAACATTAATGTACCACACTCTCATACAGCATACTTCCTGCTTGCGCATTATCGTAGCAGGCTGTCTGTTAATAACACTGAAGTAATACATCTGTCACATTTGCACTTTTGTGTTCGAAGCTGAAGGTTTTCCCACCATTGCCTACATTTGCAAATGTAAACCTTTTATTGTTTTGACAGCTGTGGGGAAATTAGGCCTTTATTTAAAAATAAAACCATGGAGCAGAATTCCTTTATTTGATGCGATTAGAACCATAAGTTTCTTGCATCCAACAGGTTTCCCTGAAGATTAGGGTGACCAGGCCACATAAGGTGGGAAGACCAACCTACCCTGTCTTTTGATACTTACTTCAGAGTACTTCATCAGAACACCTGAACAAATACAATACTCTCTTACACTCTGTGAAGTGATCTAATCAGACGCAATTTGTGTCATTTCACACATTATGCTGCTACCTTTGTTTTTAAATTATTCTTATAAAGGTTTTACAGTTTAAATTATTTTTATAACATTTCTAAATCACTGTATGAAATGCTCTTGGTTGTGGCTCAACTAACAAAGTAGTCATAGATAATTGCAAATTGTTAATTGATATTTCTTCATTACAATAATTAATAAGCAAGTTGACATAACATATTAGAGTTTGAACTGAGAGAACAACGAAGAATTTTCGCAGGACAGTCGGTTAGATGGAAATCAGGCATTGAAAGTGTCAGAGTTCAGAATCAGAAACAATTGGATCTTGTATACAGGGATCACTGACAACTTAATTGAGCTACCTGAGTAGCGGGTAATTTATGGTATCAAATTTCTGAATAACCACTTTCCTGCATCCTGTATAAAGGAGCTGTTTAAAAATTAAGTACACTTTCATGACAAACAATCACAAATAATTACAAGCAGCTTCTTTGATAGTTTTGGTGAGTACATTATGTCATGTAGTTATTTTTACAGTCAACCTATCAGGTATTTATCTCATTTTTAGGATAGTCATTTTACTCATCACTAAAGTGATGATCTAGTTGACCTCCTTATCCTTCATTCTCCTCTGTCCTTATGAGAACAGAACTCTGCAATCCCTACAATTGCATCCCATCAATTCTAGCCTCTTATGTATTATGTTACAACATGGAGACAGACAGCCAAATCAAATTAGCCTCTCTATCCTTGTATTCACAATACTATAAAATCAAAACATTTAAAGACCTTCAAAATTGACCTCAATGGTTCCTAACCAAACTGAATAACCAGTACCATACTTTGTGAATAACTGATACCAGACACCAGGTTTATAACTTAAACAAAGGATTTAACAATTTATTGACAATATAGTAGCTTTAGCAGAGCAAAGTTAAACTCAAGGAAATTTAATTAATGTCTATGATTTAAACACAATGTTCTTTGCTTATAGTCCCCACTTTCTCAAAGACATACCAACAAACAGACACAGTTAAGGGATAAATCAAAAGAAAAAGAAATAAATGAGATGTAACTGGCCACTTCATGTAAGCTGTTTCCACAATCCATAGTCACTCAAGTATGTGGAATTGTATCATGCTTGATTTCTGATGACACCAATTCTTACAGATGGCTTCCAGTAGGCTCCGAAGAATGTTCATTGAATTCTTATAACTGAGATTCTATTTGCTGAACTTTCATTAAGTTGATAATGAGGGAACAATCAAGGATCAATCAATCCTTCACCCTTCACCCTGTAGCTTTCACATCCAGAAATGTAGTGACCCGAAAACAGTTCAATATCAGTTCAAACTTTTGTTTCTCTTGGTTAGGCTGGATGTCTCCCTATAGGCTCCTGTTACTGTTCAAACATCTGTCATCTATTTAAGCATAATGCCTTGCCAGAGTCAACTGACTATAGAGCACTTTTAACAAGAATCAACCTGCAATTAACTTCCAGATTTAGCCTCATAAACATATATCAGTTTGTTTGTTCTCTTTTTTTTAAACATGCTGCTGCTCACGGTCTACAGGTCACCTTCAGCCCACAGTTCAAGCTCCAAGCCAGAAGTTATTTTAAAAATTGCAAAGGCTCCCAACAATTCCCTATTTCATTTACCCTGAAATGTCTCTAGAACTTTAGACTCTAAGCAAGGGAACTACTCCACAAACCTCTTTATCCTTGCACATGCCTCGATTTTTGTTTTTGATCTGGAGTAGCAGCAGGAGTCAGTGTGCAGTGTATATAACGTAGAGGTGTTGGTAGATAGAGTGTATAGCAAAGTGGTTATATCACAGGTAGAGTTCACAGGCAGAAGGGTAATGAGTGACCACCAGACGGAATAAAAACACTAGGGCATATAGTGCAGGAGGCCCTTCTCTAACAGATTTTCCATTTTGGATACTGCTGGGAGAAATAGGTTCTCAGGGCAATGCAGAGAGAGCCTAGTGTGATGAAACAGAAATATTGTGTGCAGCTTTGGTCTCCTTACCTATGAAAATATGTAACCAAAACAGAAATGACTGGAGAAAATCAACAGATCTGGTGGCATCTGTGGAGAAAAAGTAGAGTTAACATTTCAAATCTAGCAACCCTTCTTCAGAATTGCAATTTCTGTTTTTGTTTCAAATTTCAAGCATTCACAGTTCTTTGTTTTATTTGTCCAAGAAAATATGCACTTTCCATAGAGGGAGTGCACCATAGGTTCACCAGACTGATTCTTGGGTTGGCAGGTTTGTCCTCTGAGGAGGGATTGGGACAATTGGGCCTGTATTCACAAGAGTTTAGAAGAATGAAGGGGATTGCAATGAAACGTATACAATTTTGACATGGATAGACAGACTGAACACAAGGAGAAAATTTTCCCTGCCTCGAAGTTCTACAGCAATGGGTCATGGTCCCAGGATAACAGGTCAGCCATTTGTGACTAAGCTGAGGAAATATTTCTTCTTCCAGAGGGTGTGAATCCATGGATTTCTAGAGGGTAAAAGTGGTGAAGGAGTATTGGGAAAGAGTGTGGGAGAATGACATTGAGATAAAGGATCATATTGAAAGGCAGAGCAGGTTTGATGGGCTGAATAGCCTGCTGTTGGTCCTGATTTCTATGTTTAATATGCTGCCTAAAATGTATTACTTTGACATCATGTTTGATCACCTGATAAAATCTCTCATTTTGCTCAGTGTCAATTTTTTCCCTGATTATTCTCCTGTCAAACACCTTTATAGATGATTTACTCCATTAAAAGTACTGTACAAGTACAAGTTGTTGAGTCAATGGAAGCACTTAAGGAATAGTTTTAAAATTCCATGTGAAAATTGTTAACAATGGCCTGTTACATAACCAGACTAGTTATGAAGTGATCCACCACAATTCTAGTGTCAAACGTAGCCTCATATTAAAATTTACCTCAAGTATACAAGGAAGGTTGTTTTTAAAATTGTATTGAGTACCAAGGTCTATCATGACCCGGAGTCCAATTTAATTGTTTCTTATTTACATTCTAAACCAAATGCATTTGAAGTGGTTTGTATACTGCAATTGGTTGAGTTTTGTTTGCATTCCAGATTTATCCATTTCATCTGTTAATGGTAACTACCAGAGGTCGGAATAAGTTACCAAAAGACGTTGACAGAACAAGATTAGAGGTGCGTAATATGAACCGACTGTGTTTCAGTAATATCTCAACAGTCCTGTTGTTTCAAAATATTTGCATAAAGCTACCATTCACAATCAAGCAACAGCAATCAAAAATCCATTTGTTTGAAAACAATGGTGTATTTTATGTGAGATAGTAGGAACTGCAGATGCTGGAGAATCTGAGATAACAAGGTGTAGAGCTGGATGAACGCAGCAGGCCAAGCAGCATCAGAGGAGCAGGAAGGCTGACGTTTCATTTTCTGA